CACGTGCATACGGTACATAACACGCCGGTGTTTCAGTTCCATAACTCGACTTGACAGCCTAAATTAATTTCAAATCAAATTTCAGTCATAATACATGATAAAAAGAACATTATATTAAACAGGAGTTTGCATCTCTTTATTGACTATTGCTGTTCCACGTTTTCATTACAAAGACCGTACGCGTATACCCGAGAAGAGGAGGACTGTACTCGTATTTTTTTTCTCGGGTATACATGGCTTTCTATGTGGATTAGTTTACAGTATGTTTTCTCGATGTACTATACGTTATGTTTGGCACGTGCACTGAGGGATTTCTCTCATATTTACCTCACTAGAGTTTTCACCTTGGCACATCACGCTTATGTATTGTACTCTGAATCCTGCTAAAATAATACAGCAAAAAAAATACGTCTTAAATATGGAAATGCCCGATAATGTCTCAGTACACCAGAGTTATACCTTGAATACGTGTTATAAAATACCGGTAAACACTAGGTAAATGTTCAGTTCTGATTCACTATGGGGGGGTCCGCATCACGACTCACGGCTAAAAATTTGGCTTTTTCACGCCTCACGGCTAATTTTTTTCACATTTCCACGACTCACGGCTAATTTTTCAGCCGTTTCACGGCTAATTTTTCTCATTTTTACGATTCACGGCTAATTTTTTAGCCGTTTCACGGCTCACGGTTAACCCCATTGAGACCCTCTTGTAACTATCGGAGAGCCTTACAGCGTATCCCGTGGGGGTGGGGTACTACCTCCCCAACTTGGGTGGGGGTGTGCTGCACGACTCTCAAAACCCTTACCCTATCCCAGACCAATCTTTTTGATTTTACATDCCTTACCCCAGACTAAAGGTACAATAAAGGTACATTGTTTTAGCGCTGAAAGCGTGGCCTATCAGATACGATCACAGGCAAAATTCCACCCTAGCCCAAACAATGAGACTATACCCTATCCTAGACAAAAAAAATACCCTAATCCAGACAAAACTACTACAACCGGGACAAATGGGCAAAAAAATGATACCCTATCCCAGACTTGGAGCTCGAAAAAGACACCCTATCCTGCGGCACATACCCGTATAGCAAGGCCGCGTATCAAACGGTTCAATAACGTATAGAGATACAACTCCCGGTTGCTTCTGTAGGTACCGGAGTACAGATGACGCAATTCAATAGAAACAGAAGCTTAAAACAAAGAAGCAGATTCTAAACTATCGATGAATAACCGCCGAAATACAATGAAACCAGAATACAATAGATTCCGGTACACACAGAAAGGCCCCACGATTTTCGTCATTTCCAGTAGCCCGTGTAAATATTAATGTCCAATTTCGCAAAGAACAATGTCAGTATAACTGCAACATTCCGTCACGAAGATCTTGTTTTGACGTACAGTGGGGAGTTTAGGCCGATGTTGTGCGGATCTCGTCGTGATCTCGTCACTTCACTCCTGGAAACTCTTATAAACACTAGTTTTCTTTCCTTTTCTTCTTTTCTTTCATCTATGCAGCCAAATCTAATTTGGTATTTTTGATTAATTCAATAGCATTGACGTGTTTTCCCTCTGACCACGATTTTTTGAATATTAGAATAGTTGTTACATACATCTATAATTGTGACTTCAGTGGAATTTCAAAGACTGTGAACGTTTCGGTTTTCAGTGTTTTGACTCACTAGAAAAACCGGGGATTATTTAACGTGGGATTATTTAGCTCGCCCCTTCGGGGCTCGCCAGCATTCCTAAGGGTCAGCGGAAAACCATAATACAAAGCAAAATGTCTGTTAATAGCGAAAGAATCGATCGTATTAACGAGTTAAAAAGGTAATAAACAACATTTTGCAGTGCTCCCTTGTTGTAACAATGTGATTGTCCTCATAATGATAGCGCCCTCGTATACCGCATAACCGACTCGATCACGTGAGCTGCGTCCTTCATCATTCAGCACTCGGGCTGCAAAGAAGAGCGATTAGCTGTCAACAATTTTTAATATTATTTTTAATATTTTTTTTAGTTGTTCTTTTATCTTGCAATTCTCGCGCAGTACTGGTTAAACAATTATTTGTGTTAAAAAAAACGATTTACGACAGTTTCGACTTCGTCTCTGCATCTTCAACAATCTAGACGATTCKATGTACCAACTGTTGTATTAAATAAGAGGACATACCACACGAAACTATTGTAAATTATTATTGGTTGATGTAACAAGATCAATGATATGCCTAAACCAACCAACCAACAAATATTTGATATCGTAAATTTGTTAACTTTATCACGATACTATCCATAGCTATGGTAAATAAACGACATGCGTGGAACAAATGAATCTTTTCTCTTTCCTATGTTCAGTTTTTAAGCGCATGGCTACCCTCRATGATTAACTTTTGTCTGAATTGAGGAAACTTAATGTGTGTAAAAAAGAGCAGGTGAAAGGGTGAAAACAAACTATGAAAACAAACAATGAAAACACACGGAAAACTGCAGCAAAACTGCATCTTCGAAGATTGGCTAGAATATATTAGACCACGTTACGTTTGCACCGGTAAAGACAACGATAATGGAAGAGAAAGTTTGTTCAAAAGCTTCAAGGTCTAMTGAGCAAAGTAACAATTAAATTTCACAGCTGAGTGACAGGTGCTGCGGGTTGATACTTGAACTTTATGCTAATAGACTTAAGGAGTTCAAGGACTAAGAAAGGGTGGAGGATATGGATTTCGCTATACCAAAAGCGAACAAGCTTGAAGTATATCACACGAGCCATCATGCTCCATTCCTCTCCCCATTGTTGAATGTTCCGCCAGTCTTTCCCAACTCAGATTAAAGGCTTTATTCACACGCTTGCGTCATGTTTACACCTTTTTTTAAAAAAAACATACAAATTCAATGCTTTACGTAAGTGGAAAGTATTTGGAAATTTAAGTTTATTTCAACTTTTTTGGAAAGACATCCGGACTAATTTGTACTTTGATATACGTGAGCTGAAATGCTTTTCTTTTTTTGTATGATGAATGAAACTTAGCCATTTGATGAAATACAAACACTATGTATAAACAGTTAGAGTGAAAAATCATTACACAGATTGAAAAAAGAAACAATCGAAAAATTCGAATAGTCAGTTGGAAATTCACAAAATTTTACAAAGAAATCATATAGTGGGATTGATTGGTTGGGAACACTTATATTTCAGTTAAAATGAATGAAAAGTTCCGATACCAGAATATGGAGGGGGAAAAAATAAAGTCGCCACATTTTATAACCGTGCCGCAGGTCTTCGGCCTGGACACGGTAAAAAATTTGTGCGTCCACTCTACCGTTGTTCAATGATCTCCATAACTTATAATTACCATTGCAATCATCATCGTATGATAATCATGGTCATTGGCAATCTAAACAAAATACGCATTGGATTTAAGACAGAAAAACTATAACGTAGGTTTTTTGTTTTGAACAAGTAATGAGAGCATCTTTACTGCCGTGTATCACCATAAAAACAAGTAATGAGAGCATCTTTACTGCCGTTGTACTGGTGTTGTGTTTTTTTCAGGAAGTATAATTTAAAAGAAGTGTTTCACCATATAGTTAATAAAGGGGAGTGTCATTTTTAATAGAGTAATACTTCAAACTATGGTTTCACTTACTAGACCTGTAAACATTTTCTTACTGATACAGGAAATACATTTTAGGGATGGACTTTTTATACAATATGCAACAACAACTCGAATATATCATCTACCAAACTATCAGATCATTTAATTAGCCATGCATTTCATGTCTATTCTATATTTACAATTATTATGATTACACGCCGAGCAGGAAGGCCTGTTTTGACGGTGTTCGTGGTTCAGAGTCATCGWACGACATTGATATTGGGTTGTTGAGAGTAGCGTTGAATGTTCCTTTTAGAAGGGTGTGGGCTTGCATGGGACTTAACTATAGAGATAAATGTACACTATTAGTTACAAGTCATGACTCATGTATACAAGGTCATTAGTCTGGTTGTGCTGGCCTTAACAAGCTRTAATGCAGAGCCAGAAGATTACAACAATCGATAGAATCAAACCAATGAGTGCGTATTGCTCATTTGGCCTATGTGAGTATGGCGAGCTATTCAGAGGCCACATTTTCGACACTGAAACTGGTTGCTATAAATACAAGTCAGCTTTGAAACCTAGTAAAATTCTGCGATGCTCTGTTACAGATTTCGTTTGACAATACGATCTCAAACTGACAAAACAGTATCTCACGCGCGGACAAAAACAAATTTTTATTTTTTTTCTTTCCTTTCCCCCTTACTTTCGTTTTGTTTCTTTCTTTCTTATMTTTTTTTAATTAATTACAATGGTGAAGCTAGTTAACGCAAGAATCTTCTCGACCAGTAAACAATAAGACTTTTCTTCATAAATGAATTGAAATAAAAATATAAAATGACAGCGGAATGAATTACCTCATATGCCCCAGGTCCTGGTACTTCGCTATTTTTTGCTTTGAATCGATTGTCACGTGTTACCATCAAGCCGCCTGGTGCATTCTTTCTTGACGTCTCGTAATGGCCTGGGCCTAAACAAGAAATATAAGTATATACTAAGTCGAGATTTATCCGTTATTCTRACAAATATATGCATAGCATTGTACTGTATTATATCCAYGTGACAATAGATTAACAACACGGCCACTTTTCATTTCCCTTCGGATATCACTTTAACATTATCACATGACATGAGTATCAGTTTGTCTGTGCAAGGCTAACAATGGTTATATATTGATRATTTACCAACAGAACAACTTGCTTACCTGGTTCAGGTTCCTCATCTGGAAGTATTCTGTTAACAGTAAACCGTGATGCTGTAGACAAAAACGCTCCTGACTTCTTGACATTTCTATTGACTCTTTGTGCGTAGGGATAGAGAACTTTTCCTGTAATACAAAAGCATGTTATTATAGAATAGAACGACTTATTGATCAATCAGCAATATCTTACCTTGAGTAGTGTCATGTGATCTACATACTTCATACGAACCTGGAGGTGGGGCATCCTAATGAAATAAACATGTAAGTTAGAAATTAACTAGAAAGAGCAATATACA